CAGACAGACAGACAGACAGACAGACAGATGGACGGACAGACAGGTAAGGCAGACAGACAGACAGACAGACAGACAGACAGACAGACAGATGGACGGACAGACAGGTAAGGCAGACAGACAGACAGACAGACAGACAGACAGACAGACAGATGGACGGACAGACAGGTAAGACAGACAGACAGACAGACAGACAGACAGACAGACAGACAGATGGACGGACAGACAGGTAAGGCAGACAGACAGACAGACAGACAGACAGACAGATGGACGGACAGACAGACAAACAGACAGGTAAGGCAGACAGACAAACAGACAGGTAAGACAGACAGACAGACAGACAGATGGACAGACAGACAGACAAGTAAGACAGGTAAGACAGGTAAGACAGATAAGTCAGGAGGAGTGTCTCACCTTCACAGGCTTTCCCGTCTGCGGTGGGGATGAAGCCCATGTCACACTCACAGCGGTATCCACCCGCAACGTTCAGACAGTGTCCGTTCTCACACAGATTCACGTTCTCCGCACACTCATCCGTGTCTACAGGACACACACATGCATTAACAGCGGCATCACGTCGTGTGTGTGTGTGTGTGTGTGTGTGTGTGTGTGTGTGTGTGTGTGTGAGAGAGTCCGTACCGACGCAGTAGAAGCCGTCTCCCGCGAATCCCTCTTTGCACAGGCAGCGGTAGGAGCCCATGGTGTTCATGCAGTCTGCGCTGGGGCTGCACAGGTGCGTCCCGTTAGAACACTCGTCCAGATCTGAAACAGGAAACAGCTCTGCTGCACACCTGACCACCATCAGTCCAAACACAGCAGGTCACGAGTGAGAGAGCGAGAGTTCGTACCTGTGCATCTGATCCCGTTCCCGATCCAGCCCGGAGCGCAGCTGCATCTGAAGCTGCCGGCGGTGTTCGTACAGCTCGCGTGTCCGTCGCAGTTATGAGCGCCGATCTCACACTCGTTAATATCTAAATCACACACACACACACACGCACACATTTACATAAAGATTTCTTTAAAAGCCTTAATTCAAAAGTTAGAATCCATGAACTAAACCAACAAGACTCGAATCAAAGTTCATTATAAACTTTGATTTGAAGCAAAAAAGCATTTGGAAATGTGATAAAAACTGAACGTAACCGCTTTAATGACGAAAAAAAATTACAATCCCATGAAGAATTGCAAATGACTTAATGGAGTTAAAAACGATGGTCAGATAGTGAAATATTAATTTAAAGTTGTTGATCGTATCTATCGAAATATATTTTAAGATTTTTGCAAACTATGTATAAATATTTTGGTAACACTTTACAATAAGCTTCCATTTGTTAACATTAGTTAACATGAACTAACAATGAAAACAACTTCTAAAGCATTTATTAATATTAGTTCATGTTAATTTCATCATTTACTAATACATTATTAAAATGAAAACTTGTATGAACAGTTGTATCGAGCTTTCGATTAATAAATACTCTAACAAATGTATTGCACATTGTTAGTTAATGATAGTAAATGCATTAATTAACTAATGTTAACTAATGGGACCTTACTGTAAAGTATATACGGGGTCTGAATACTTTCCGTACCCACTGTATATACACACATATTTTTATATTTTTTACAAATATATATTTTGTATTTTTTACTTTTGCCATGATTTGTTTGTCATCACTCTGATTGGTGGAATATTCTGCACAGAATCATGGGTAATATAGTTTTCATGTGAGCCCTTCACATTCTGTTCCTTCATCGAGTCTCTTTAGACTGCAGCTCTCCGTCTGTCCTCAAATAACCGGAGCGGAGCGACCTCTCCGTCTGCCTGCGCTTTTATTAGAGCAAATCTAATCCGCAAAATATGCTCAGCACACATCCAGCTAACAGCGATAAACCCAGGAGGAAATCATGGAGCGCTTCGGTGTTTACTCCAAAATAAACCACTTAACTGGCCTGATGGGGACCGTGCTCAGATTAACAAGTTTACGTCATTATGGCGTCAGTCAAATTATACAGAATTAACACACAAACACATGAAGTGCTGAAAGAGAATGAAGCTACATGACAAATGTTTCTCTAGAGCAGGGCACACATATAAATCACTGAACATGTGGAACAGAATAAATGCACAGCACATGAGACTTAAACATTAATAAAACACTGAAAATTCAGTCAAATTAAAAATCATTTAAAAAAACACTTGCTAAACACCATTAATTCATAAAAATGCAAAATTAAAAAAATAATTAAATTTTAAAATCAAAATCAAAATACAAAACGAACTATTAATTAAATCATAAAAATGTCAAATTAATATAAGTGATTTTAAAATAAATCAAAAACATTTTTTTTTTTTTACATTTTAGTTACATGAAATAAAATACATTTGAATAAACTCAAATAAATTTTTCATTTTCTTTTAGTTTAACTTGATGTACCAAAACAGCTCAAACTAAAACGGAAATAAACATTTATAAAAACCTATTTTAAAACTATTTTAAAGTGTCTGTATCACTTAAAAAAAACTAATAAAAATGACAAAAACACAAAAAATTACTACAGAATGTAACTAAAATTAATATATGACAATGAAAAAGATTCTCAAAATTAAAACTAATTCAAAATATAAACAAAAAACTATAACTGTCACAATTAAACTACAAAAATCATCAAGGAACCAGGAACATGCAAATGTGTTGTTGAATTACCGAAATATTAACTTTAAAGATCACATATTTTACACCTTTCTGGAGTTTTTTTTTATTTTTTATTTTTTGACTGAAGGCGGTGACTGTGTAGTTCTGACGTCAACTTTTTACGGAAGTAACAACGGTTCGTGAAAAATCACAGCTACTTTATGCGGGCTGTGTGCATTTTACTGTGGACTGACTGTTTTGAAACGTATATGGTAGTTAAACAGCCCCTAGACCTCAGTAATCGTGGGAAGAAAAAAAATAATCAGTTTTGACAATATGGGACCTTTAAAATCTCAATCAGGATTCAGCTGACAAAAAGATTGGGAATCCCATCATTTAAATGCACTTCTATTCTGTTTCTATTGGTGTTTCAGACACACTTCAGTGCAACTTTATTGAGTTGGATCGTCACAAATGCTGCAGATGCATTTTTAACAAACCAGAGACATAAAAAACACCTTCACTGATCCTGAAACACTGGAATACACACGGGGTGTGTGTGTGTGTGTGTGTGTGTGTGTGTGTGTGAGAGAGAGTGTGTGTGTGTGTGTGTGTTCGAGTGTGTGTGTGTGTGTGAGTGTGAGTGTGTGTATGAGTGTGTGTGTGTGTGTGTGAGAGAGAGTGTGTGTGTGTGTGTGTGTTCGAGTGTGTGTGTGTGTGTGAGTGTGAGTGTGTGTATGAGTGTGTGTGTGTGTGTGTGAGAGAGAGTGTGTGTGTGTGTGTGTGTTCGAGTGTGTGTGTGTGTGTGAGTGTGAGTGTGTGTATGAGTGTGTGTGTGTGTGTGTGAGAGAGAGTGTGTGTGTGTGTGTGTGTTCGAGTGTGTGTGTGTGTGTGAGTGTGAGTGTGTGTATGAGTGTGTGTGTGTGTGTGTGAGAGAGAGTGTGTGTGTGTGTGTGTGTTCGAGTGTGTGTGTGTGTGTGAGTGTGAGTGTGTGTATGAGTGTGTGTGTGTGTGTGTGAGAGAGAGTGTGTGTGTGTGTGTGTGTTCGAGTGTGTGTGTGTGTGTGAGTGTGAGTGTGTGTATGAGTGTGTGTGTGTGTGTGTGAGAGAGAGTGTGTGTGTGTGTGTGTGTTCGAGTGTGTGTGTGTGTGTGAGTGTGAGTGTGTGTATGAGTGTGTGTGTGTGTGTGTGAGAGAGAGTGTGTGTGTGTGTGTGTGTTCGAGTGTGTGTGTGTGTGTGAGTGTGAGTGTGTGTATGAGTGTGTGTGTGTGTGTGTGAGAGAGAGTGTGTGTGTGTGTGTGTGTTCGAGTGTGTGTGTGTGTGTGAGTGTGAGTGTGTGTATGAGTGTGTGTGTGTGTGTGTGAGAGAGAGTGTGTGTGTGTGTGTGTGTTCGAGTGTGTGTGTGTGTGTGAGTGTGAGTGTGTGTATGAGTGTGTGTGTGTGTGTGTGAGAGAGAGTGTGTGTGTGTGTGTGTGTTCGAGTGTGTGTGTGTGTGTGAGTGTGAGTGTGTGTATGAGTGTGTGTGTGTGTGTGTGAGAGAGAGTGTGTGTGTGTGTGTGTGTTCGAGTGTGTGTGTGTGTGTGAGTGTGAGTGTGTGTATGAGTGTGTGTGTGTGTGTGTGAGAGAGAGTGTGTGTGTGTGTGTGTGTTCGAGTGTGTGTGTGTGTGTGAGTGTGAGTGTGTGTATGAGTGTGTGTGTGTGTGTGTGAGAGAGAGTGTGTGTGTGTGTGTGTGTTCGAGTGTGTGTGTGTGTGTGAGTGTGAGTGTGTGTATGAGTGTGTGTGTGTGTGTGTGAGAGAGAGTGTGTGTGTGTGTGTGTGTTCGAGTGTGTGTGTGTGTGTGAGTGTGAGTGTGTGTATGAGTGTGTGTGTGTGTGTGTGAGAGAGAGTGTGTGTGTGTGTGTGTGTTCGAGTGTGTGTGTGTGTGTGAGTGAGTGAGTGTGTGTGTGTGTGCTGACCCCTGACCTCAAACACTCAGCCCCACCCCTGACACTGATGTCCACTGATGATGTCATTATTTACACATGCCGACGGCCAATTAAAACACACGTGATGACCTTCATACACTCATCAATCACTGATGCGGCTCTCCCACAATCCAACACAACTCAAATAAACGATCTTTGGTTCGTTACCATCACACGTCAGTCCCATCATGCCTGGAAAACATCACTTTAAATGAAGCTCGCGTCTGGACGTTTATAAACGACAGACATTAAAATCATCACCAGTAAAAATACACAGAGAAACAAACGGCTGCAGATGTGCGCAAGACGCTTTCAGGATGAAAATGTGAAAGAAATTAGAAATAAAAACTCAACAAGCAGCGAATCCGAACGGGCCAGAGGATTCAGACCGCCACTTCAACTGCTTTTAACTGCGTTTAATCCCAGCTTTTTCCCAGACATGAAAATATCCAAATGATGTGTCATTAGTAACCCTTTGAAATAATCAATAATTATTTTTCTGTATTTTTTGGGGAAAAGTGTGTGAAAAATTGTGTTATAAAACAGATTGGCTGAGCCGCGTTCGAAGCTGTTGTGAATGACGCTACAAAGTAACACACACCTTTGTTTACGTTTGTGTGTTGCTCGGCAACCACTTTGTAGCAACCACAACTGTTTCTGAAGAGCTACATTGTTTGGTGGAAGAATACTGTGTTTATTAATATCATTACACTTTATTTGCTCCGTTTTATTTTGTGAAACCGTACTACGTATATGGAATAACCGTTTTATAAAAGCAGTATACAGTGAATTTATAACAGCTTCACGGGGGGTTATTGCTTTATTTTATGGTCGGTCACAATTGTGTGTGTACTGAATTGTTATAAAACTAGGCAAAGTCTCATGGATATTACATTATGTCGTTTTAAAACTATGTATGTTCGTAGGTCTTTTAGATATTCTGGGGCACTTTTGTGGAATAAGTTACCTCTGGACATTAAAGGTATTTCGAATATGGTTAGTTTTAGTTTAAAAGCTAACAGTTTGTTCTTAAGTAGGTTGTTTTGTTGATGAATTTGTATTACGTACGTGGTTATTTGTGACTGTACATTTTTGTAGATGTGGAATTTTATTGTAATTGTTTTATTTATAATGCAGTGCCAGTGTACCTGTTACCGGGAGTGAAGTTTGTGCTTTACATCAAGGACCACAATGGAAATAAGTTTTGTTTTAAACTTTATTGTGTTATCCTTGACGAATAGAGTGTATTCACTACTTTTTTTGTCAAATAAACAAAAAAAGAAAAAAATTAATTTACATATTTCTGCAGTCATAAAAATTGTTATATATCTTAGTCCAGCTATTTTAAACCATTTGATCACATTCTAGGGTTACTATTATGCATTAAAAAAACTTATACAACACTGATAGGAAAACTGAGATAAAATACAAAATATACAACCATCAACAAATTTCAAAATTGTTACTTTTTTGTAACATATATCGTCAAATTGTTATATTAGTGCTACCAGTGCTGATACATCAATATTGTAACTTATTTGTTACATTTGAACTTTTAATTTAGTGTAAACATTTTAGTGCAGCTTTCACGAAGAACAGCAATTGGATTTAAATGTATACTTAAATACATGTTTACTCATTCTGTGACCACACTCAACAAAACTGAATATATGTGAATTCATATATTAATACTAGACACCTCAACGATAATGTGGACCAAAAATCTTTGTCATGTTTTTATGTTAACGTACTTTACGAGCTTTCTCTTCTCAAGCTGCAAACAGGAAGTAAACTGCTTTGATCATGTAACAATCTGCACTAAACGTGTGAAACTGCACATATTTAATTGAGGCTCTTTATTTTTCTATATTTGCAGGGAGTGCACTAAAACATCAGTCAGTAAGGTTTTTAGAGCTTTATAAATGACAACCTTTTTTACGGTCACTATTGTGGGATTAAATGGGTTAAGCGGCTCTAATGGGGCGTTTCGTTAGCCACTGATCAGCGCTCAGGAATCTGGGCCGAATATCTTCCAGCATTCAGCTCGCGAGAACATGAGGCGCCTCAGGATTCCTGCGCACTGACTCAGACGAGGAAAACATGCTCCGAAAACACGGAAAATATGAGCGAGAGACTGAGAGAGAGATAAACAGAGACCGACTCAACTGACACTACCTAACAACCACCCAGAACACCCTAGCAACACACTTACTACACTCTAAGAATCATGTGACCCTGGAGCACAAAACCATCATAAGGGTCAATTTTTCTCAAGACTGAGATCGCGCACACTAACTGAGAGAAGCGTTCATGGATCGAAGGAAAGCGTTTGTTTTTGCTTTGTAAGAGTTCGGCACAAACGTGATTCACTTCGTGAGTGTAACTGGTTTTTACAGCTCCTTGACGCAACCCATCAAAAGGCTTATAAACACCGCAAAAATAAGCCTTTATTTATTAGAGGTGCAACAGCGCATTCATATATGAGTGCAAATGGCTGTGCATTTATTTATGTTTTTAACTCGATGGGAGTGAAATTAAATGGTCTGAGCCTTAAGCTGTGTGTTGTCTGTCTCCCCTCTACCCCCTCCGATTCACAGCGCACCACGCACCAGTTTTTTTGCATTTTTTAAAACTGTGGTGAGAACTAACCAGTGCTGAAACAGGGGTTTCATGACCCTTTAACAAAAACTGTAATAGTTTAAGAATGGCACTGAAGTAACAGCAATTTAGATGCATACAAGAATGAAGCACTGAAGAATGTAAATTATAACGGTACATTTCAAACTCTGATCGGATCAGATGATGTTCTAGTATTGACTAGAGTCAACAGGAGAGTGTGTCAGTGTGTGTGTGTGTGTGTGTGTGTGAGTGAGTGAGTGAGTGTGTGTGTGAGAGAGAGTGTGAGTGTGTGTGTGTGTGTGTGTGTGTGTGTGTGTGTGTGAGAGAGAGAGTGTGAGTGTGTGTGTGTGTAAGCCTGTGTGTGTGTGTGTGTGTCTCACCTGTACAGCCGGTTGTCCCTTTCCTGACAGAGAAGCCGAGGTCACAGTGACAGATGAACGAGCCCTTGGTGTTTTCACACTTCCCGCTTAGACAGATGTTTGGATTCAGCTCACATTCATTCACATCTGACACACACACACACACACACACACACACACAAAGAATAAAGTTACACAAAAAAAAAAAGAAGAGACATTTGACATTTAACATAATACTGCGTAAGTACCTTATTTCTAGTTTTAACGTGAAATAAGCATGAATTAACATCTCATGCCTCATGTAATCGCACCATCAGTGTTTCACTCGCGGAAAGATGTGATTAAAACAGCTTGTAAACAAAACGTCACGTAGGCAAGTCATCAGTGTCCACAGCTCGCTATTTGCTAGAGAAATAAAGTCTAGAGAAGAGCCTTTCGTGAAATATTAGACTACATAGCTACTCATTATATTTTACTTGATTTCTTAATCATTTAATGTATATTTAAATAAATCTTTAATGAAACAAGTTATGACGGCCACTGTGTAAACGATAATATTTCAACAACAAATAGAAATTGTATAATTTAGAAGTTAATTTAAAAACTGCATGGAGTGCAATTTACATGTTTGCATACAATTTTTTATTTATTTGAGTGGTTATTATAGTTTAAAATAAATAGTAATTAAATTTAAGTTTGGACTCTGTTGTTAATTCTAATCTTATAGTAATGTAAAAGGGCTCCCTATAGTTTAGAGCAGAAGCTGA